AATTGGATGTGATCATTATTAAAATTACAATAGTAATGTCAATCGATAATTTGTGTTACTAATATAACATTTCTCAGGACAAAAATCTGAAAGGTTCATTTTCGAGGATGAACGTTTTATTTGTCATAGACTCGTAGCTGATCAAGTTTTTATACTCTGCCATATATGAAACAATATTTTCTTGGCAAGCTGTGCAACTATCTAGGGTATAGTAAATGTGGAATCTTTGAGGTCCCGTTTGACCAAATGTTTGCTAGTTAAAACTGAGTGACAACATAATAGATATGTCTCATAGCATTAGTGAATCGACGGTATTATCATATTTAGATGGTAATTATATAACATAACAGTACTTTGAACTAAATTATTTGAAGGTAGAAGAAGTAGCTAGCTAGTCTTCCCTACTCGATCGGCACCATAACTAAGTTGGTGAACCGGGTGGTCGCCCTTCTCGTGGTCATACAAGCCCAAATCAGCAATGCGATCATCCCCAAAAGCACGACCCCTTTTACCGCTTCCAGCAAGCAGTTTATCACTCCGGTGATTAATACAACTCCCAGAACACCAAGCACCAGTAGTGCTTTTTCTCCATTACCCACATTCATCCTGGCCAGGATAGCAATGATGACGGACAAACAAAGAGCAGAAAGGATGACACCCATAGCTAACCTGTAACACAAGTAAGGGACATTTAAATTTTAGGGCCTAAATAAGATGAATCTAATTTAGGTCCTGGTTTCACAAGTCAATGCCATGCCAAGTTAAACTACACCTATGACTCCTTTTGTTTACAAACATTTACCATATATAACTAGGAATTTCATTCCATATCCACTCCAATAAAATTCAACCATGAATAAATGATGCAACATTCAAAATTAACCAAGGGAAGTGTTATTGACACTCCCAAAATCTCATTATACACTCCTCACAAGTGTATTTTTCTTTCTAAATATAGAAAGTTTGGAGTGTAGAATGAGAATTTTGGAGTGCCAATAACAATTCCCTTAACCAAACTCAATATACATGGTATAACGGCAAAATTGAAGAATAATTATCATAAGTACTTACACACATAGAGACTATATACCATAGCTATATTTGTAAGAAACTTAATTGGACTAAACTATCATTTAGTGAAGGACGAAATGTATTTGGTAACAATACAGTTTGATGTAACACTAGTAGAAAAACATGTTTGCGCGACGGCAACTTGCGCGACGGATCAAATTTCGTAGCGCAAAGTATGTTTGCGCGACGCAAAACACAAAACGTCGCGCAAACTACCTTTGCGCAACGGAACTTTGCACGACGAAGTCTTGCGTCGCGCAAAACAGCTTTGCACGACGTATGTGCAACTGTGTCGCGCAAAGCTGTTTTGCGCGACGCAATACCTACGTCGTGCGAAGTATTTTTTTTTTTTTTGTCCTTTTCCTTATCTTTTGGGGTTCTTGCGTTGCCTTTTTATTTTGTGGTATCCACTTGTGTACATGTTTTAAATTGACGATCAAATTAGTTCATTGTATTCATATAAGGTTAAAGAATATAGCTGTAAAAAATCATCAAAATCGGAGTTAAAATAACCGTTAAATCATGATTTTTCGTTTATAGCCGTCGAAAAGGCTTGTCCCGTTACATAATCTCTTAATGTTTTTTTTTTGCGATTTTTGGCATATGCGATCTCAAAGCATATACAAACAAGTTTGACGGTTGGATCGTTCAAATTAGTTTCGTACAATGCGTTTCCCATCAAAACAATAGATTCACTAACACTTAGAATTTATTAATACTTTCATCAAGTATAACATACGATTTTGTGGTATCCACTTGTGTAAATATTTTAAATTGACGATCGAATCAGTTCGTTGTATTCATGTAAGGTTAAAGAGTGCATCTGTAAAAAATCATCAAAATCGGAGTTAAAACTACCGTTAAATCGTGATGTTTCGTTTATAACCGTCGAAAATTTTTGTCCCGTTACTTGATCTCTGAATGTTTGTTTTTTGCGATTTTTGGTGTATGCAATCTCGAAGTATATACGAATAAGTTTGACGGTTAGATCATTGAAATTAGTTTCGTACAATGCGTATCCCATCAAAACGATGGATTCCCTAACACTTAGAGTTTATTTATACTTTCATCAAGTATAACATAAGATTTTGTGGTATCCACTTGTGTAAATATTTTAAATTGACGATCGAATCTATTCGTTGTATTCATAGAGGGTCAAGAAGTGTAATTGTAAAAAATCATCAAAATCGGAGTTAAAATAACCATTAAATCGTGATTTTTTGTTTATAACCGTCGAAAAGTTTTGTCTCGTTACTTGATCTCTGAATGTTTACTTTTTGCAATTTTTGGCGTATGCGATCTTGAAGTATATACAAACAAGTTTGATGGTTGGATCGTTGAAACTAATTTCGTACAATGTGTTTCCCATCAACTTCAATGGTATATATATTTACTTAGTAGATTTTAATGTATTTATTTTGTGCTCATAAGCAAAAGGGCAAAAATAAAAAACTTTGCGTGACGTAGGTGTTGCGTCGTGCAAAGCTGTTTTGCGCGACGCAACACCTACGTCGTGCAAAGTTTTTTTTTTTTTTTTCTTTTGCTTTTCTTTTGGGGTTCTTGCATTGCCTTTTTCTTTTGTGGTATCCACTTGTGTAAATGTTTTAAATTGACGATCGAATTAATTCATTGTATTCATATAGGTTTAAAAAGTGTAGCTGTAAAATATCATCAAAATCGGAGTTAAAATAACCGTTAAATCATGATTTTTCGTTTATAGCCGTTCAAAAGGTTTGTCTCATTACTTGATATTTGAATGTTTGTTTTTTGTGATTTTTGGCATATACGATCTCGAAGTATATACAAACAAGTTTGACGGTTGGATCGTTGAAACTAGTTTCGTGCAATATGTTTCCCATCAAAATGATAGGTTCACTAACACTTTGAGTTTATTTGTACTTTCATTAAGTATAACATAAGATTTTGTGGTATCCACTTGTGTAAATATTTTAAATTGACGATCGAATTTGTTTGTTGTATTCATATAGGGTCAAGGAGTTTAGCTGTAAAAAATCATCAAAATCGGAGTTAAAATAATTGTTAAATCGTGATTTTTCGTTTATAACCATCGAAAAGGTTTGTCCCGTTACTTGATCTCTAAATATTTGTGTTTTGCGATTTTTGGCGTATGGGATCTCAAAATATATACAAACAAGTTTGACGGTTGGATCATTGAAACTAATTTCGTACAATGTGTTTCCCATCAAGTTCTTGGTATATGTATTTACTTAGTAGATTTTAATATATTTATTTTGTACAAATAAACAAAAGGACAAAAAAAAAAAAAAAAAGGCCTTTGCGCGACGTAGGTACAACTGCGTCGCGCAAACTGGTTTGCGCGACGCTGTTGTACCTACGTCGCGCAAAGGCCTTTTTTTTTTTTTTTTTTTGTTGCCTTTTTCCTTTTCTTTTGGGGTTCTTGCATTGCATTTTTCTTTTGTGGTATCCACTTGTGCAAATGTTTTAAATTGACGATCGAATTAGTTCATTGTATTCATATAAGGTCAAAGAGTGTAGCTGTAAAAAAATATCAAAATCAGAGTTAAAATAACCGTTAAATCATGATTTTTCGTTTATAGCTGTCGAAAAGGTTTGTCCCGTAACTTGATATTTGAATGTTTGTTTTTTGCGATTTTTGGCGTATGCGATCTCGAAGCATATACAAACAAGTTTGACGGTTGGATCGTTGAAACTAGTTTCGTATAATGCGTATCCCATCAAAACAATGGATTCACTAACACTTCGAGTTTATTTATACTTTCATTAAGTATAACATAAGATTTTGTGATATCCACTTGTGTAAATGTTTTAAATTGATGATCGAATTAGTTCATTGTATTCATATAAGGTTAAAGAGTATAGCTGTAAAAAATCATCAAAATCGGAGTTAAAATAACCGTTAAATCGTGATTTTTCGTTTATAGCCGTCGAAAAGGTTTGTCCCGTTACATAATCTTTGAAAGTTTGTTTTTTGCAATTTTTGATGTATGCGATCTCAAAGCATATACAAACAAGTTTGGCGGTTGGATCGTTCAAACTAGTTTCGTACAATGTGTTTCTCATCAAAACGATAGATTCACTAACACTTAGAATTTATTAATACTTTCATCAAGTATAACATACAATTTTGTGGTATCCGCTTGTGTAAATATTTTAAATTGACGATCGAATCAGTTTGTTATATTCATATAAGGTTAAAGAGTGTATCTGTAAAAAAATCATCAAAATCGGAGTTAAAACTACCGTTAAATCGTGATGTTTCGTTTATAACTGTCGAAAAGTTTTGTCCCGTTACTTGATCTCTGAATGTTTGTTTTTTGCGATTCTTGGCGTATGCAATCTCGAAGTATATACAAATAAGTTTGACGGTTGGATCATTGAAATTAGTTTCGTACAATGCGCATCCCATCAAAACGATAGATTCCCTAACACTTAGAGTTTATTTATATTTTCATCAAGTATAACATAAGATTTTATGGTATCCACTTGTGTAAATATTTTCAATTGACGATCGAATTAGTTTGTTGTATTCATATAGGGTCAAGGAGTGTAGCTGTAAAAAAATCATCAAAATCGAAGTTAAAATAACCGTTAAATCGTGATTTTTCGTTTATAACCGTCGAAATTTTTTGTCCCGTTACTTGATCTCTGAATGTTTGTTTTTTGCAATTTTTGGTACATGCGATCTTGAAATATATACAAACAAGTTTGACGGTTTAATCGTTGAAACTAATTTCGTACAATGCGTTTCCCGTCAAGTTCAATGGTATATATATTTATTAAGTAGATTTAAATTTATTTATTTTGTACGTATAACACTTAAGAAATTGAATGGTATGTATATTTACTAAGTAGCTTTAAATTTAATTATTATTGTATTTCAGATCGGGTTTTTGTTAAAAAAATATATTATTGTGAGTTTTATGTTAAAAAAAATTGAATTTGAAAAGAGTAAAGTCACATTTTCAATAAATTTTGTAATATTTAAAAAAAAAAAAAAAAAAAACCACTTTGCGTGACGTCGAGATATACCTACGTCGCGCCAGTGATAATTCTGGCGGTGAAAATGTAAAAATTAAGCGCTTTTTTTTTAAATTTTCCCGGACAAATATTTCCGAGACCCGAACTGTCTCTCGCTCATCTCGCCCCCTCTCTCACTCGGTCTCTCTCTTCCCGTAGCCTTCCTCCTCATCTTCTTTCCATCCTCATCCTTTCTCTTTTCCCAACCCAAACCCTAATCCCATTCCACTCCAGCCGACTCTCCTCCTCAGCTCAGCTCGCACAAGGCTTTCCCTCCCAATTGCCCATTTGTTTCTCCGACCGCCGCTCGATTTTGTTCATGTAAGTATACGGTCTAATTAGATTGATGGTAATTGCTGATTAGATTTTTTTGTTTCTGGATATGGTTGCTGTCTTTTTGATTTGATATCAGTCGTTTCGTGCTGGTTTCACTGTTATGGTTATGAAATTTGGGTTTTTTGGGACTCAGATTGATGTGGGTTGAATGAGATAATTACCATTAGATTTGATTTTTTTCATGTGGGTCAGTTTTGTTTTGTTTTTTGATACCTCAATCTGTGAGTTTCTTACCTATGGGTTTTGGTAGCGTGTTACCCTTTAATTATAATCATTGTTCCTACAAAATCGAAACCTAAATCACACATTCGCCATCTCTTTCGCGGATCTGCAACTCTTTTTCGCCATTTCTCTGGCTGATGTGTAGAAACCCTTCGCTACTCTCCCAACTTCGACTTCATCTCACGGTACTCTCTCTCTCTCTCTCTCTCTCTCTCTTTCTCTCTCTCTCTCTCTCTCTCTCTCTCTTTCTCTGTCTTACACACACAGGGCACAGAAATATGGAATTTCTTTCAATTGTGCAAGTTTGAAAAGATGAAAGATTTAAGGTAATAGCAGATGTGATTGTTCATTGAATCTTTAGTTTGCGTTGATCAATTTAATTCATATGCATCACTTGAAATCTCAAAGAGAGGGAATTATCGATGGCTTGATCAATGAATCTTTGGATGGATTGGTATGCAAGTTATGCCGAGTGAGGTGTTGCTTGTGGTTGTCTCTATTCACAGGTTATATTTTCTCTAGCTAATGGATTTTATTTGGGACAACTAGATATTGTATCGGTTTGGGAATCTTTGGTCTAAGCACTTTAAGGATGTCCCCTTAGTGTGCCTTCGTCTTAACTGGCTGGATTTTTGTATAGAGTGGTGCTGGAGTTCTACTTTTAATTTCTCCCCTATGTGAGCTTCATCTCTTACAAACAAAAAGAAAGACTGCAGTTCTGTGAACAAATCCTTGGTGTTCTAGAAGAGGATTATATCATTAAGTGCATGCATTAGCTGGATAAGTTTCCGAAAAAATCATGATGCTCAGATCCTAAACTGTGCACCTTATTCCAGGTTGCGGATGGAACATTCTTGGAAGAACCTGGTTCTAGTGCTGTACCAACTATTGAGAACAAAAAGGTTTCTGTTGGGACTTTGGAATGGGTTCAAAGGTAATTACATGGTATAATGGAATATAATAGTTTGTATCATTGCACATTTGAATGTGAATTTGCTTCTTGTAAAGGTGTAATGCTGATAGGCATTAGCCCTGGACCATTTTTAAGAGAATTTAGAATCCTATTATTGAAAATTTAGATTCATATAGGACAACATAGAGTGCTGTCTATGATCATGATGAACTCTTTACGATATAAATAACAATGTACATGGAGAAGTAATGCTTGACAGATTCGACTTACAGGAGCACTAAAATGAAGTTCTATAAGTAGCACAATTTGTAGAAAACAGAAGCAGCTTAGAGAGACTAAGAAGATATAGGGGTACTTCAACAGATGCTTATTTCTTTCTCCAATTTGAGTTTGGCTTACAAAAGTGAGCCTTATTTTCTAAAGGTTTTTGCAAAACGACTTTAAAAGAAAATCCTAGAGATTCATTAAAGATATGTAGAATCTTAGAAAACTTTTAGGGCTCATTTGGTGTTAGGGAATTGAAGGCAACCAAGGGCACATGTTTTGTTAAATTTAGGGATCTCAATAAACAGATTTTTGATTCATGGACCAATTCTAAATTTTACTCTTGATTGTTTGCCGAACTCTTAAATGACCCCAGAAGATGGATTGACTATTTAGCTTAACATGGAAATTAATTTTGGGAACCAAAGGCTTAGTTGTTTTCATCTTCCAAATAAGATATCTTTTGTTTTTTTTTTTTTTTTTTCCTTCTTAATATGACAAATAATTTAATCTTGGATCATGTATTGAGGTCCCATTGAAAAACTAAATATATGCAGGCATGGAGTTACCATTTGAAGAAGTAGAAGCCCATACGAGTCAATCTATTGTATATGTTGGCATTGATAGTACTCTTGCCGGTCTCATTTATTTTGAGGATCAGATAAGGGTAGATGCTGGATAAGTTGTCAAATCTTTATCGAAGCAAGGGATCGATGTATACATGCTATCTGGGGACAAAAGCAATAACGCGGAGTACGTCGCGTTTGTTGTTGGTATTCCGAAAGAGAAGGTAAGGAGTTCTTAATTACTTCTTTCTTTGATGGGAAACAAAAATTTTATCGATTTGGGAAAAATGTAAAAATTAGGTAATTTTCTTAAAAATATAACATTGTAGTAGGATTATTTGCACGAACACCTCCCGGGTTGTTTTTGAAAGCAGAAATAGGTATCAGATTCAACGGTATTATTTTTGAAAACCAAACTATAGAGGATTACATGCTGTTGTAGCAAAATTTTCTTTTAGACGTTTACCATCCGCAACTATGAATGAATAATTGAAGAGTGCAGCGGAATTCTTTTCACCATCGATAAAAGATTATTTGAAAAATTTGCTTAATGTTGATTGGTGGAGCATTGATGGAAAAAGTAGTTATCTTTCTTTTCATATAATAAGCATTGTTGTGTAGGATATTTGATCTTCACAATTTCTTGCAGTTACTTGATGCCTTGGAACTAAGCAGGCTAACTATGAAGCAAAATCTCGATGTCCAGTCTTCAAATCCCGATGCCATCACTTGATCTTGCTCCATCTTTGACCTCCTAGCCACTTTTTGCCCGGCCGATACCCAGTAGCTTGATGTATCAACCCTAGAAGATAGTTATTATAGTTTTTTCTATTTTTGTTCGGACATCTTGTATGTACATTTTCATATATTTTATAATTAAATACTTTTTCTTGGTTTATTAATTATTGTTTAGAATTTAATTACAATATTTATTAAAAAGTAAATAAAAAATATTTTTGCCAAAAAAAAAAAAGGGTTTGCACGACAAAGAAGTAAGCTACGTTGCGCAAAGTGGCTTTGTGCGACGCATGTCCCTACGTCGCGCAAAGCGGAGCAAAGCCACTATGCCACTTTGTGCGACGCACACACGTCGCGCAAAGAGGCTTTGCACGACGTAGGATGCGCGTCGCGCAAACGAGCTTTGCACGACGTAGGACGCGCGTCGCGCAAACGAGCTTTGCACGACGTAGGACGCGCGTCGCGCAAAGTGGCTTTGCACGACGTAGTCCATGCGTCGCGCAAAGCCACTTTGCGCGACGCATGTTATTTCTTCGTCGCGCAAACCCTACCGTCACTGCCTTGGCGCGACGGTTAGCGCGCGACGAAGGTTGCGTCACGCAAACCCTTAGGCAACGATTTTTGACTTTGCGCGACGAATGTACGTACGTCGCGCAAAGTGTTTTTTTTACTAGTGAAGTTGCAAACGTGGAAAAAACTGCTTCCTCTTATTAAGGAAATATGGATAACAATTGTGGAGATAACGCTTACATCCCCCTTATTTGATGAAACTATTGTTAACCAACAAAAACCAACTCTCCACGATTGAAGGAAGTTGGGGAATGTTGATCTATATAAGGACTCCCTACCTGTAAAGAAAAGTTCTGCGTTATTGGGTTCTATCACCTTAAGAACATTAAGTCTTTCAACGAGTAGAAGATATCCTTTTTCTTGTTCTGCAATGGCTGCCTCAGGTATCATGTTAACATCTATTAGTAATCTAGGAAATTTGTTAATATTGTGTACTCCTAGTTTTCCAACATTTGGTATCAAAGCCAAATTAACAAATCCTAGATTCGAATGTATGTGTCGAACTGCATATGTTTTTAGTATGTGAATTTTTTTTTATGAAATGTGTTGAACCAAAGCACATGACAGCATTGGCAGCAGCATTCATGCTTTCCATTATTCCATCCGACAACACATGACAGCATCGTTCAATAAAATGCATGAGGTAGTCTTGCCTCAGAAGTTTTTTAATGTCATGCATCACTTATGATAATATTTTGAATTCACCAAAGTGAATGATTTAGATGTATATTCTAGAAAAGAAGGGTTTAAAGATTCATTGCATATTCATACTCTTTTCCAAAGGAAAGAATATATAAAATGCGTAAGGTTTCAATGAATCATTCCTTGTATAATCTTGTAATTATCTTGTCCAAAGACTTGATATATTTGTGATAAAAGATTATTGAAGTGGTCAGAACGTACATGATGACTTTGAAGGAGTGTTTATATTTCTAACCTAAAGGGGATATATAAACATGTGTAAGTGATGCATGAAATTAAAATTGTATTTAATGTTTTATTTGGCAGCTTCAGCAACCTCATTTGCACTTAGCCTTTCTCGATCGAGCCTCTCAATGGGGGAAAGTTCAAAAGGTGGAAACAAGACATTGAGATTTTGATGGGCTTGATGGATCTCGATTTAGCATTGAGAGATGATGAACCTGCACTACTGATTGTCACTTCGACTGCTAAGCAAAGGTTGAAGCATGAAAAGTGCAGAAAGTCAACAAGATATCGCTTATGGTGATGAAAAGAACTATGAGTGAGACTCTGAGAGGTGGGATACCTGCATGTGACAAAGCTAAGGATTTTCTAGATTCAATTGGAGCAAAGTTCAAAGAGTCCAAGAAAGTTGAGATGGGTGAATTGATGACGACGCTGACCAGTTTGAAATTTGATGAAGGCAAAGGTGTTAGGGAGCACATACTAAAGCTTGTTGACACTACAACAAAATTGAAGGACTTGGGGGTCTCGGTTAATGATGCTTTTGTTGTTCATATGACATTAACTTCTCTACCTCAATCCTTTGATCAATTGAAGATCACTTACAACACACAGAAGCAAAAATGGTCACTGGATGAACTAATTTCCATATGTGCTCAGGAGGAAGGCAGGCTCAAAAGAAACACTAACTTTGGTGTTGTGAACTTGGTGCACAAATCTCTAGAATATGTTGAAATGTGGGAATAAGAAACTCTTATATGAATTGCATGTATGAATGTGTATTTATATGTATTTGCATGGTTGTCAGTACGCCATTACAATTATGAAGTGATGGTTTAAGACTGAGTTGTAGTAATAAATATGCATGTGCTGAATCTATATGATTATTCTGAGTTATATAGCTTATATATCACAAAGTGTTATATGATTTTTAATTCAGGGAACTGTGATTATCCAAAGATGATCCATAAAGTTGATTGAATTGATTCATAGAAAAATGAATGTTAAGTTCATTGAAAGTTTGACATCATACATATTAGAGTTAAATGACAATGATTTTAGAATGCATGTGCCAATGAGCTACACATGGTTTTCTAGAGTTCGACATTTGAACTGATACTGGTAGATGTGGGGAAGCAAGTTACGTGTAACTGGATGTGATCACTAAGGAGTCAATATTGTAATTGTGATAACACTTTGATTAAATGATTAGTTTACGTCCAGGTGGGAGAATGTTAGAAACTTAATTGGACTAAACTATCATTTAGTGAAGGACGAAATGTATTTGGTAACAATACAGTTTGACGTAAGTTGCAAACGTGGAAAAAAAACTGCTTCCTATTATTAAGGAAATATGAATAACAATTGTGGAGATAACTTACATCCCACTTATTTGATGAAACTGCTGTTAATTGAGAAAAACCAACTCTCCATGATAGAGGGAAGTTGGTGAATGTTGATCTATGTAAGGACTCCTGACTCGTAAAGAAAAGTTTTGTGGTATTGGGTTCTATCACCTTAAGAACATTAAGTCTTTCAACGAGTAGAAGATATTCTTTTTCTTGTTCTACAATGGCTGCCTTAGGTATCATGTTAACATCTGTTAGTGATCTAGGAAACTTGTTAATATTATATACTCCTAGTTTTCCAACAATATTAAGATTGGTGCAACACCATAGCCATCTTAGTACATATGTATGGATAAATCATCTTGAGTTCGATTCCCTTCGTGAATCAAAGAAAAGAAAAAGGAAGAAGAAAACGCAATTTTATACTCACTACTAAAAATTTCCATAGGGTATCCTACACCAATAGAGTATCCCTACAGAGCCATAGGGTACTCACAATCGTATTACTTGTACACAGCCATAGGATGTCCTACACCAACCTTACCCCATGTGAACATAAAGTGCCAATCATTGTCTTGTTCTAGGTCATTTCTGAACAAGCCAATATTGAGACTCTCAGTATAGGGAAAGTTTTTCAAGAGTTGATGACCTTTAAGACATCTATGCTACTATTTGGAGGCAACTGCTGCAGTTTACTATATTTATCTTTTACATATCGACCTTTATCTATTACCTCCTGTCTTGGTTGAAATGTTCTTAAGAACTAGGTGAAGAAAAATAAATGTTGTATATTATTGGACAATTAATCTGATAAACATCCTCGTAAAGGAATTAATATGAAAACTAGCAAAATGATAAATTCCTAAAATTTTGGGAAGAAAATGACAAATAAGCCATTTTGAACATGTGGGGTATATTAGGTAATAAAATGAAAACCATAAACCATGGAGAGAAAAAGATTGAGTTGGAACATAGATGCTAACATGGACATACAATCAAAGGACTAAAATCCATAAGCTTACATCATGTTTTGATCCAAAATTGTACTTTTCACGTGAATCTGAATTTTACACCAAGAAGAAGAAGAACATGCTGGCTGTTAATTAACCATTGATTTCAATCTTGCATCATATTTTGATCTATAAATTATCTAAGGATATGAATCTAACTTTTACACAAGAAGAAGAAGAAGAAGAAAATCTAACTTTTACACAAGAAGAAGAAGAAGAAGAAGAAGAGGAAGAAGAAGAAAGGAGGAGAAGGAAAGAAGAATAAGGGACGGCGATGATGATGAGGATGATGATGATGATCCCTGCATCTGGCCGCTCCTGAAGACCGAAGATGATGATAATACCTGCAACTGGCTGCTCCTGAAGACAGAAGAAGAAAATATCAAACAAGTAAGCTAATTTTGTAGTAGTTTGTATATGTATACACAGTCATAGAGTACTGGCAGTCAATGCAATTGTATGCCGTCTCTGATGTGTCCAATTCAAGGCAATGTACGTAACATATATTTTAATGTTATTGGCTACTGATCTATTGATTTTCTTCATTATTTTATTATTATTTCCTAGGATCGATGGGATGACGAGAAAAATATGAACAAAATTTTATTTGCACTCACCTAGCTATATACATGCAATGGACGCATGCAATGACTAATGTCGAGTGAATGAGATCCAGTTGATTTACACATAAGACGAATCTAACAGCTGCAGGTTTTCGAATTAAAATAGTTTCTTAATTATTCAAAATGATTAAAAACGTTTTTAATGAAAGTGTTTTGGGAATCAATTCTTAAAAATGTAAGTACATTTTGAAAAAATACTTAAATATTTATTGTAAGAAGTACATAACTGATGTATCTTGCATGATACACTTTAAGTGCTTTTGAAACCAAAAAAAAATTCACCAAAACGCTTATTTTAGAACAATTCCAAACAAGTCCAACATCAATTAAAACAACTTTAGAGAGAAACGATGGAGTTGAAAGATAAACAAATTAATCATGCATTCTTTTAACCTAAGAGCAGGTCAAGTCCCAAAACACCTACACATAAATGATTCAAAGCCTAAGACCACAAGATCGAAAACCCAAATCAAGAACCCCAAATTAAGTTACGTATAACCTACGTCTCTCATTTCATACTATTGAAGCTCCAGCCCCCTTGATTCTTTTACCGGCTCTATTTTGCTGCTGCCTTTTTAGTTCATTCC